CCTAGTGGTAGGTAAATGGTAAATACATTTGATTACTACTTTTCAAGTGCACTTACATGCTGTCAAAGAGCCGCTCAACCTCCGAGCGCTGCGTGAGATATTTGTACAAATTGTAAAAGTCCTCGAATTGAAATTTGGCCACCGATATGCTATCGACCTTTCCCGACGGCAAACCGGTCACGTCCAGCGCCTTCTCGACACGTTTGCGATCCTCCTTGTTCTGGGCGAAAAGTTTTATGATGCTAAAGTGGTCACGACCAGAATTTGACCAGCGGAGGAGTGGAGTGGATTGGGCAGCACGGTTGAACGGTTGAAAGGCAGACAATGCGGTGTTGGTCGGTGTTGGTGTTGATGAGGTTGTTGTCGTCCATCGTCATCATCGTCGTGGTGGCCAGTGATGCATGAGCCACGTTCCAGGAACAGGAGCAGCACCAGTAGCAGGAGCAGGAAAAAGGGAAATTGCGAAATAGAAATTGGCGTAAATTTCAATTTTCAGCTCAACGTCGATGGCTACACTTAACAAATATTTGTCAAGTGCTTCAACGCACAATGCACAAAAGCCAGGGACCCGAAACCCGAAAGTTGGTCAGGATCCCAGGACTCAGGACATTCGGGGTGTATGGAAAGGTATTGGGTTCTGTGGGGGCTGTTTTCAATTACTTTTTCACTGGTATGCGACCGCTCTTGTCCACCTGCAGACACAGCTTGGTGTGGGCCTTCTGCAGGAACATAATCGCCGACCCATTCAGCTGGGCCAGGCTGTAGGCCAACTTGATGAGTCCATCGGACCAGAGCTGCAAAGGCGGAAAGAGAATGCGAGACCAGAAATGGATTAAAATAAGTGCCAAGTTGGGGAGCTATGGTGAAACATCGAATGGAGCCCGAGAAAAGTCTGCATTTGTGGAATATTTGCGTAGAGATAGACTCTTTCTGGGTTTTCTTCTTAGTATTCTGTGTGCGGGGGACTTCAATCAACATGGATATGGATTATAATGAAAAGGGAAGCTGAGAAACTTTTCAATTTATGGACGAACATTAGACTTTCAGGAATAGGATTCATTTAAGTAGCTTTAAAAAACAACAGAAAATAGCTGCGTTAAATTCGTTAAATGTAATTAACAGAAGTAAATCTAATATATAAATAAATTCCTTCTTAATAACCATGTTCAGTTATATCCTTCTAGGCCAAAAAGCTAAGAAATTCCATATATACAAATTATTATTTAGAATCCATTTAATCCATTTACCAGGAAACACCTTCAGGCATATTTGCTCAAAGTTAGCTTGTCGTGAATTTAATTAACCAAAAACGTTCTGCGATTGGCTCATGTAAAAGGAATTTCTGAGTTATTTTATCGGTGGCAACACGGGGCGGATGCGTGATGCAGGCCGCAGATTGATTGTACAGTCAGTTCAGTTTAGTTCAGTTCAGTCCAGTCAGACATTTCATTCTCATTCCTTTCCAGAGACCGAAACTATCGCCCATTCATGTGTATTTATGGCCAATTTTGTTTATTTTGCTTTGCGAAATTCCTTGTGAAAAGTTTATGAAAATTTTCGACATTTTCATAATTTGATTTTCCTTTGTTGCCTGCCATCGTTTCTGCGGTTCAAGTTGCGTTTTGTTTATTTCGGGAATGTCCGCGACGCGTGCCAAAAATAATAACCACAACAGCACGGTCTCGGTTTTCTCTGTTTTCTCGGGGCTGCTGACCATTGATAAAATAGAACATTGATTTTGGGCAAGGTCAATCCAGGACAGACACATGAGAAATGGACGATGGCCGTCGGACAGTGGACAGCGGACACGCCCTCGGACGAAAATCAATAGAAGCACCGTTGAGTTGGTCCATAATAATTTTTACGCGCCTTCGGCGACCCACTAAAAATAGCCAAAACCAGAAAGCGAAAAGGCATAGGTGTGTCCTGGGTGAAAAAAAATGGCAGGGGAAAATACACAAAGAGAAAAAAAAGAAGTACGAGTATAGTATTTAAAATCCCTGGAAAAATAATATACTTTCCTAAAGATCAAAATAATTCTAATTTTAGCTTCATAGTAATAGAAATTAAATATTTGGAAATAAAACGGAAACGTTACGTATTATTTTAAGGATTTGGTAAATATTTTCAAGATTTTAAGATTATAATAATTATTTGATCTTAAATGAAAATCTTTAGACTCTTAATTAGTTATGTACTTTCATTAAGATCCTGCTAATTATTTTTCTTGGTGCACAGTAGCCGACCCTTTATGTCCATCATTAGCGTCCCACTCTCGACACAATTCCCCCAATGACTTGGAACTTGGGAACTGGGCGTGTGTCCAAGTATGTGACCCACAAACGCCAAATGGCTTTCCCTTTCGATACTTTTCGGCTGTCATTAAGTGAACTCACCTGGGCAATATCCCGCCGGGTGCAGCAGAAGTTGACGAACGTCATGTTAACGAAATCCGAGCCATGGCACACGGTCACCGTCTTCTCCTCGAGCGTGTCCTGGGGGCCCAGCGTCACAATCTGGCGCAGCTTGTTGTCCTGCAATCGAGAAAGGATGAGCATGGCTGGTTATTAATTACCAAATGACCAAAGGGATCGAAGGGGGGGACCGGGGGCTACGCGGAAAATGAAGGTTTATTGCCGCCGGCAGTCGTAAATGGAAAGTCATATCCTTTTGCGCGCTAATCCTGCGAGTGCAGCGAAATTCATTTGCTCGCCTCGTAAACCAGACAAACAAACACGATTCCCGAGCTCAACTGACCGGGGTGCCATATTTCAATTAAACGGCACAAATGGATTTACGAGCAAGGGAGAACGTGCATCCTTGCCAGCCAAAGGACCCCAGCCAACAAACCAACCAGGCGAACTCCACTCAGCTGAACTGAACTGAAGGAAAAACATTTCGACTTGCGAGCCAACTGGGTTATATGCAAATGAGCCCGCGACACAAGCAGAATGAATAGCAAAGAGTTTCATTTGTAGACTTTCCAGACAAATGAATACTTCTTGGAGGAACTTTGTAGTAGCTGTTCGAGCTATAAATAAATTACTTTAAATGGAAAGAGTCTTAAAGGGACTTTGCATTTACAATCAATACCTCTAAGAGGTAAAGTACTTTAAATATTATTTAAAAAAGTTAGGGTTACACCATTGTAATATCCTCTTCTTGTACTCAACAGTTTAACACTTTCGCCCCTTTTTATTGCTGGGCTTAGAAACTTATTTTCCCGTCAACCCAGCCGTTCATCTCTTGAACTATTCTACAGGGGCGGAGCTACGAGCTCAGAGCGGGATTATCAACGTCCTTTCGAATGCATGACACATAGTTCGGACACAGGACATTGGACTTTGGACGTCGGACAGTTGACTGCAATAAGGGGCGGCAGACTAGGGGGCGGGGCACTTGAAGCGGAAGCCAGAGCATGAATTTGGCATTAACTTTGTGGCCGCCATGTCTTCGGTGGGAGGGGAAGAGGAGGAGTAGGAGGAGGAGGAGGAGGAGTGTGTGTTTGCTTCCGGCGCTCGGGACATTTGACAAACTGCCCGGGTGGCCAGGGTGGTCCGGGGTGGACCTTATCGGCTGGCAGTTTACAGCGGGATGACAGGACGGAGACCGGCAATGTTATCTTTTGTGCTCGCACATCGAATGCACAAGCTGGGGAATAAAACTCTGGCAGATGACTTCAATGCTCTTAGATGTCTGAGCCCTGATCTGACCTAAAAGCGACTTACGGCCGAAGACCAAAACCAATCATGGTCAGAGCGAAACACTAGAAAAAATACTGGAATTCTAAAACATTAACTAGTTTAAGGTACCCAAGATATGTGAATAAAATAAAATATTCGATATAATTTATTGTACTTCAAATTTTAATTCCCAACAAGTAGAAACCAACCCTGATCTGACCTAAAAGCGACTTACGGCCGAAGACCAAAACCAATCATGGTCAGAGCGAAACACTAGAAAAAATACTGGAATTCTAAAACATTAACTAGTTTAAGGTACCCAAGATATGTGAATAAAATAAAATATTCGATATAATTTATTGTACTTCAAATTTTAATTCCCAACAAGTAGAAACCAACAGGTTCTGATTACCAGGATTTACATTTCTAAAATAAATTAATAATCTACATTTCTAGTTGAAATTTAAAGACGCAGACTTCAAACTTCATTGTCTTAATTCCAAACCATAAATTCCCAAAATGACTAAACTTTTCTGCCTAGTGCATGCAAATCGATGCCTTAATAAGCCTTGCTGGTCAGCAAAATGCCAGGCTCATGGATGGATGATGCGCGCAGCTGAGTCGACTAATTGAAAGGCTTCCCCACTTCACCTCCTCCATTTGGAGGCCATTAAAGCGCCGTTCAGCGGTGATAAACGGGGACTCACCTATGCTGGGAAACCCCGCTTTACTGCAGGCAACGTTTATCTGCGAGCGTCATGATTTGCTTTTAACTAAAAACTAATTCCGGCAAATTTGTCGCTCTGAATAATGTAAATGGCTTTCATGGCCGTCGTCCTGGTTCTCCGGGCTTCCCTTCCACGGGTCGTCTCTGTCCGGATTTTTGGAACGGCACCGTGCGAAGCGTAAAGCGGAAATGACTACGGCGATTATCTTAATTGCTTCTCACGCTTCGCGCTCGGCACTCACGCGCAGCTCCCTCCGCCGCCCCTCAAAATCCGACGACTCCTTTTTGGCCTGCTAATCCTTTGGCTTTGCTCGAAATTTGAATTTTAAGAACGCTCATTATGTACCAAGGAGCAGGGGGTTCGGATGGATGTTTGTGATAATTTTAGACAGCCCCCCAAAGCCCAGTTATTGATTTTTGAAGGTGTTAATCAAATATTACTCAACGCCGTATGACACTTATTGGAAAACGAATGAAAGATTTAATTTAGAAGTTTATATAAATCAGGAAACCAGGAAAATTATATAAATCAGTTCCCTATTGAATTTAACGTCAAACATTTATTCCAAAACAAAATATCCACGCAAAAACACACAGTTGCTCGTCGAGCTAAAAAAAAATTTATAGAAAACCTAAAAGAATTTCTATAAAAACATTCTATTGAGTCCCTCGAACGGAATATATCTTCATTCACCGCAGATTTATAAAAATCCTTTGAATTATCTGTCAGCTGCTTTGGACTGGTTTAGGCAAAAGTATTCAGATAGTCGTAAGAACCAGATAGACTATTTTTTAATTTTACAAAATTTTAAATTTGTATAAAGGACCTCCAAAAAAAGCTATAAGACCTAAATTAAAACTCAGCTAATACATGGGCAGCAAGCGATCTTTTAGCTCTCGCACAGATGCTCCATGCCATCCATTTGACCAGCAGAACTCGGATGTGATCCCCAGACCCTATGAACTGATGCGTCAGAGAAACTGCAAGACGGAGAAGTTCATTCCATGGGAGCGGTATCCCTCCATTAGGCCACCAGTGTCCAAGTGCAGTTACGAGAAGACCAAGAACTGGCTACTGGAATCGGTGGATCGGGGAGGCTGTTTGGAAATCAGTGATAAAGGGCAGGACGCTCTGAAGATCTGGAAAAATAGCCCCGACAAGAGTAGTCTCAAGTATTACGGAGTGGCCGGTGGCTCTGATCTTCCGGAGGCAGTTAGATTCAACAGAACTTTGACAAGCAGCTTGAAGCATGCCAGTGGCCTGAGGAGACCGGTTCGATGTCCACCTGCTCCACCAGAGCCAAAAAGACCGCCACAACCAGCTCCATTATGTCGGCCCTACATCCTCAACCGGGAGGCCCTGAAAGCCGAGCTCCAAAGAATGCCCATTGCCCGGCAGAAACTGCATACCAAGGAGGCTTTTGGAACGCTATTCTGTGAGAAGCAACCGGATCCCATGGATCCCCTGGGAGTGGATGCGGCCACCACTGGAGCGGTGAGCTTGAGAGAAGGCCTGGATATGGTGAATCCAGAGAAGCCGCCAAAGGAGGGATTGAGACGCCATCACTGGTACTGCCCACCGAAATGTGGCGAGCGGGAGAACAAGTGCACCGACTACCAGTGGGCCAAGTACAAGATGGACTCGCGACCCGACGACGAGGCCTTCCAGAGGTGGTTCCTCCAGCAGAAGGCGCCACCGGCTAACGAGCCCCATGACTACGATGAGATGTATAGGCGATTCCAGGCCTGCTTCGAGGTGAAACCCCAACCAGATCCTGAATGCTTGGCTATGGCAAAGTGTTGTGCGAATGTAATCAAGGATATTAAGGAAGTGGTTGGTGGTGGAGGATCCGCTGGCGGAGGAGGAGGTGGATGGGGAGGAGGCGCCGGAGGAGGAGGAGGTACAGGCGGTCCAGGCGGTGAAGAAGGAACAGGAGGAGGTACCGGCGGTGGAGGAGCTACCGGTGGTGGTGGAGCTACTGGAGGTGGAGGAGCTCCCGGAGGTGGTGGAGGTACCACCGGTGGAGGAGGCGGACCTAATAAGGAAGGTAACAAAGGTCAACCTGGTGGTCCTGGTTCTGGTCCTGATACAACTCCAGGTCCACGACCCAAACCTCCTCCAGATGGTACAAATCAGCCAGACAAAGAGAAGGTTGAAGGCGATAAAAACAAGAAGGACAAGGTCAAGGATAAAGATAAGGACAAGGCTACTGGCCAAGATAAAGATACGAAAAAAGAAAAGGATAAAGACGAGGATAAAGGCGATAAAAAGAAGGACAAAAAAGACAAGAAGGAAAAGATCACTGATCCAGATAAAAACATAGAAAAACCCAAAGATACGGACAAAGATCCGGACAAGAATAAGGGAAAAAAGGACAAGGAAAAAGGCGAAGGTAAAGATAAAGAGAAGGGCGATCCCGATAAGGAGAAACCCGAATCGGGCAAGAAGACGAAGGAGGTTAAAGATCCCGATCAGGAGAAAACCAAACCACTGAAGCCCCTAAAGCCGCCCAAGGAACCCAAGGAACCAATCCAAAGCAGAACCGATACGTCCACTCGGGAAGGTACCTCCCTGGATAGGGATTCTGGTTTAATACCACCGATCAAAGAGGAATGGGAAAAGCCTGATAAAAGGCCTCCGCCAGCCAAAGGAGAAGTGACGGAGAAGCCGACGAAGCCACCAAGTAAGAAACCACCGAACAAGAAGCCACCGAATAAAAAACCCACCAAGGGAAAGCCACCAAAAGTCGACGAGGGCGGGAAGAAGGACAAGGAGGAGCCAGCGGAGGAGTCGTGTCCCACCTGCCCTCCAGCCGACTGCCCCTGCTCCATTTGCGACTGTCTGTATGCCAAGAAGCTCCCCATTTCGCCGGCCATGAAATCGGTTTTTGCCCAGGAGAAGGTGCGCAAAATGAGGGAGTACCTCCGCCAGATGCGCCACCGGGAGTACATGGAGTGCGCGGGCCAAAAGCCCATGGCCCCCCAGCACAAGGTGGACCCCATCGACTGCGACAACTGCTTCTGCCTGGATCCCAAGATCTCCGAGTACTGCGAGTGCCTCGGAGCCCTGCAACATCTGCAGCGACTGCTGGGCAAGAAGCGCCATCCCATCGTCAACAACGAGCTGCTCTTCAATCTCGACGATCTCCGCCAGAGAATCGCCCAGCGAATGTGCGAGTGCATCTGAGAAGTCTCACTTTTAGGTCCGTTTTATTGGCTTGTATCCCTTGACACGTTTTAGTGTTTTTTCCAAATTTTACAATTGTATAATAAACGGTCGTTTTTGGTTATAAGGTGTTGAAGGGACTCTGGAAATGCAGGTTTGGGTTAAAATTAGTCACTTCGAAATCGGCATATAGTTATTCAAGTTATGGAATCTTAAAATCCATTTTTGGGTTCCCATTCTTACTTATATGCGATTTTAAAATTCTTCAGAATTCAGAATTTATTTTTAGATTTTTTTTGGGTCTATTTTATTATTACAAATAGATTTAAGTAAAAAGGAAGGCCTGGAATTTTTGGGTTCCCATTCTTATATGCGATTTTAAAATACTTCAGAATTCAGAATTTATTTTTTGATTTTTTTTTGGTCTATTTTATTAGTAATAGATTAAAGTAAAATGGAAGGCCTGGAAATCCCATTCACAACGCCCTACTGACAACTTGTGTAAATAATTTTCAGTATTTTATCATGTGTTCAACAGACAACACCTAAATTTTAAAAATAAGCCTGTTTTATTTTGGTTCTCCCACTAAACCTCAAGATATTTAAGCAATAAAAAAAAGCAAATTGGACCCGAATCGTAAAAACACTTTAAGCAGAGAGAAGAGGTTGCACTTAATTATCACAATGATGAGCAGACAGGATACGCAAAGTCGAGGATCCAGGAGATCCGTGGGAGGTCAGGCCTCCTCCGGTTGCCAGGAACCCGATCCACTGAACACCTACGTGGAGGAACCGCCCACCTTGTACCAGTGGATGCGATGGAGCAACTGCAAAACCCAGAAGCCACACCTGCAGGAAACCTATCCCACCATCCTTCCCCCGATCTCCAGATGCGATGATGCCAAGACCTTGAGGTATATCGAAGACGCCATGTTGGCCAACCAATGCGGCCGACTCAACGAGCACAAGGAGGATTCGCTGACCGTGTGGAACTACAGTCCCCAGAAGGAAACTTTGGGTTGGTATGGCGTGGCATCGGATCATCCCACCCCACAGGCCGCCTTCTTTGACAGAGCTTTGCAAAGGAGTCTAAAGGCGTCTAGCCTTTTGCCTAAATGCCCCAAGAAGTCCAATATAAAACCCAAGTGGCAGATTAGGCCGAAAACCCCGGAACCCGGTGCCTACATCCTGAATCGCAAGTGTCTGAAGGCCAAGCTGGACAGGATGCCAAATGTGAGACGCCAACTGAAGCCGAGCAATGCCTTCTCGTGGCTCCACTGCCCTCAGCCGGCGGATCCGGAGCATCCCTTCGAGGACAGCACCGGTTTCCCGGCAATCAGCAGGGAACAAGCGATGGATATGGTGAAGCCTGAGAAGCCTCCAAAACACGGTCTGCGACGCAATCACTGGTACTGCCCACCGAAATGCGGGGAAGCTGAGAGCAAGTGCACCGACTACGAGTGGGCCAAGTACAAGCTAGATCCGCGACCCAACGACGAGGCCTTCCAGCGGGAAATGGCCGAAAGGCCAGAGTTCAAGCAGCCCGAGCCACGCAACTACGAGGAGCTGTACAAGTCACTCGTGACCTGTTTCGTTCAGGATCCGAACGGTAAGAGTGATCTGTGCGAGGCGCTGGAGAAGTGCTGCAAGGATCCCCAGGATCCGCCATCCCAGGGATGCAGCGAGTTCGTTCCAACTGGCCCAGGAGGCGATGGTGAGTCGGGTTTTGATAAGGATAAAGATAAGGACAAAGATACGGACAAAGATAAGGACAAGAAAGATAAGGACAAAGATAAAGGGAACAAGGGTGATGGTAATAATGAGGGGGATAATGGGGATAAGGGCGATAAAGATGGTGATCAAGGTGTGGGTGAAAAGGGGGATGGTGATAAGGGCGAAGGAGACAGGGGCGATGGAAAGGGGGATGGCAAAGAGGGCGGTAAGAAAGAAGGGGGGAAAAATAAGGATAAGGAAAAGGATAAGGTTGATGAAACTGATAACAAAGAGGGCAAAGAAACCAACAAGGACAAGGATAAAAAGGACAAAGATAAAAAGGACAAAGACAAGGACAAAGGTAAAGGCAAGAAAGTCAAAGAACCAGAAATGAGATCCTCCGAGGAGGAGCCTACTATAGCTCCTCGAAGTACCGATTCCATTCCCCCCCACGAAGAATCCCCCATAGTGGATGGAGGTAGTCCTGGTGACCTAGAAAGCGATACGGACAACGGAAAGGACAAATACAAGGATAAGGACAAAGACAAGGGAAAGGGGAATAAGGGTAAAGGCAAAGGCAAGGGAAAGGGCAAGGGGAAAAAGAAGAAGCCGCAGAAGGATAAGGACGAAAGCAATGATGGGGATAAGCAGACCAACAAGGACTGTCCCTGCGAGATCTGTTGTCCGTCGAAGGAGCAGGACACTCCGCTGATCAAGGAGATGCGTCGGCGGGATCGGGAGCGCCAGGCGCGGGAATATCTCCGCCAGATGCGCCACCGCCAGTACATGGAGTGCAAGGATCCCAGTTACCCTGCCTGCCCTCACAAGTGCGATCCCATTCAGTGCAACAGCCTGTTCTGCAGCAATCCCCGGATGCAAACCCATTTCGATCGAGTCCAGGCGGTTCAGCAATTGCAGCGGGTTCTGCAGCGAAGGAATCAGCGCGACGATGAAAAGATATCCAATGATCTGGAGGAACTGCTAGCACGGCTGTGCAACCGACTGACCTGGAATGATGACCTCTGCGTATGATAACCCCCCGCCCACTCGTTTGTTTATTTTCTGGCACCGCTGCCATTAGTTATGAGTCCAAGTCCAAGTCTGATTTAATGTAATTTGTGCCTGGAGTTGTGTATTTGTGTTATTTATGCTTGCGCTGCTTTAAAGCGATCTTAATTGTGGCCTTTAAATAAACTCGAATCTCTAGCTGAGCTCCCTGGACTTGTACTCATTTAATTAAAGGCGCACAGCGAGGGGCGGGGACTCTTGGACTCTTGGATGTATGCTACGCTTTTCCTGGCTTTCAGTTAATCACACATCGGCCTCTGTGAGTGTATGCTTGAGTGTGGTTGGGCGTGGTCAACGCCCACCAACTCTCGGCTTTTAATTAACGCATGATTCTGTGCCAAAGGGTTCCTTTCATTTCGAAAAATCCAACATTTTCTTTCATTAACTTGATTTAATATGTGGGAGTGAATGTTTTTTTAAAAACTGTCTGTTTTAAAAATCGTATACATTTACATAGCGGATTTAAATATTTTTCCTTTTATCCTTACTATTTTCTTAATTTTTCAATCTAAAGACCTGCCCCAATTTTTGTCGAGTGTTGTCCACATTTCATTGTCCGAAATTCCTTCTGTCCCGCCAAGACCGCTTTCATTTCCCAACTTTTCCGGCGCTGTTAGTTTGCCTTGGGCAAACTGGAAGGAAAACAAAACTCATTTGGCTTTGGCCTTGGGCCTGTCGCGCTCCACGGCAGCAACTATTATCGGGGGCGGCGGTTGCTGGTGGGCGTGGCCCTAGGCCGAGCAACATGATTTATACAGTGAACAAAAAGCGGCACTCCCCAAGAACCAAGAACCGAAAGGAAATGACGCCCAAGGATTTCCCCATCGGAATAATTGCCCTAATGGCTGCGAAACCAAAAAAGGGGGGAAAAAGAAAACGAACCTACATTTATGGAACTTTAATTTGATAATGCGCCGCGGAGGGTTAAGATGGTTTAGAATGGCTTTGAAAATTCAGTAAAACTTTCAAATGACATTTTTCTCATCCAAGGAGCTCACATAAAACGCTTTTCAAACGCACAAAAGCAAAAGTCAAACCAAGTTGCCTTGTCATTGGCAAGATAAATGAATTAACTTCGAAAAGAGATAGTCCCCGCTGCCATCGAAGGAAAATTGTGGAAAAACGGAAAAAGCGTGACACACATGAACGGAAAACTCGCTATGGAAAACTGTGGCACAATCACAATGGGCTACTGATTCCGATTCCAGGGGAGTGGGTTGGGGATATTCCAAAAATGGGGACACAACGCACGTGACTTGGCTGGGCAATCTAAACGGGGAAAATTGGGTGGCTTACCTGGGGAAAATGTGTGCTCACATACCAGGAGTCCCAGTAATTGGCTTTCAATTCCGTATACATTGCCCTATTTTCCAAGATTCACCGACGCTAGTTTACTTTTTCGATAAACAAACGGCAGCTATTTAAGATTTATAGTAAAAATTGCCATACAAACTGTACAGCAGATGTGATATTTTCTCGAGTGTCGTTTGTATGCATTTTGCGGTGATGAAAAAGTTATTACATCCGCTGGGGGCGGCAGAAAAAAAAAAAGAAAACACACAAAAACCGGACGGAAACCTCCCACATTTCGCCTTTCATTCAATGTGCGTGTTAAAACCAGACAAATATTTCTTTCAATTCAATTTCAGTGGGATGCGTTTGCTGTGGAAAATGTTGCTGCTGCAGGAAAAAGGGAGGTAAGTCCTGCGAAGTAACGCCGGATATGAAGGATGCGAGTGAATTCGACATGAAAAGCACCGAAGAATGTTGTAACCCATAAATGGTGAAATCTGAGTGACTAAACGCAAGTGAATATCGCGTATACGCCATGGCGGTCATTGATTATCAAGTATACGCACCTTGGGCCGCTTGGCATACTGTCCCGTGCGAACGTCGCGTATGGTGGCTATATCCAGAATGTCCAGCTCGTTGTTCTGATCCACCCAGTAGAGGAAGAATCCCTTGGCATCGACGCGCATGGTGACCGGAGTTCCAGTGCCCGAGTCCTGAAATCAGAGATGATATATGCCAAAGATTAGTGAGAACCAAAAGTGAAACAGGCTTAAAGGAAGAGGAAATGAATACAGCATGTGGTAATCAAAGCACACTCGATTCGGGTCCAATAAATTGTGAACACATGACTTAATGTATAGTACACACTCGTAATTCCAGAGTTTATTGAACTGATCTCTCCCCTTCTTGCTAATGAATTTATCTCGGCCAATTTCTCAGCTGAATTGGCCGACATGAGTGCTTGCAGTCGCCGTCTGTCGTCTGTTATTTCTGCTTATTATTTAAGTCAAATTAAATGGGCATCTGCCGGCAGCCATAAATATTTAATACCGCCGGCCATCCGTCCATTCATAAAGAAAAAGGAAAAGTTCTCCGCCCGCAGCTGGCGATGCCAAACAGATGCGCAGCATTCCGAATTGCGAGTAACCCCAGCCGAAATTAAAATATTTTTTATTTCTTAAATATGCATGCAAATAAGTGGCAGCCAAATCTGGCATCCAGCGAACAAGATGTCTCGCAAATTTGGCTTCTCTTTGGGGAAGCGAGTCGAGTCGAACAACACGTTAAATGGCGCGGGCCAAATGGATGTTTCTTTGCCAAAAGGAGGCAGCAATTGTGGGTGGTGGGCTGTCTTTCCTCCATCTGAGCGTAAAAGTCAACGCAGACAACGTGCAACAAAAGCGCGATGAATGTGTGTGCAACTAAGTGGGGAAAAGTGCGATGGTCACGCTAGCTTTACTTCAAGGAATGTGGCAACAATGTGATCCACTCGGGGGTGCGGACATTGAGTATTTTCAAAGGGGCGATTTCATTAAAATATTCATTGACTTTTATGCGAGCAACAAGTTCCATTACTTGGGGCTTCACAGTGGGGGATAAATATTTAGCTATTAAATATTGACTACATAAGCATATGTTTTGTTGACTGTAACACATTTAAAATAAAATAAAAAAAAATAAAATAAAAAAAAAATAAAATAAAAAAAATAAAATAAAAAAAATAAAATAAAAATAATGATACAAAAATAATACAATTCTTATCGTCACTTTTATTACCCCTTTTCGCTGGGTAGAGTTATTTATTATTTTTGGGTACATTAGAATTCCCTATAAACAATTACTCTTTTGGGAATTTATGACTAATATACATTTTGTTATATTTTTTGAACATGCATGCAATAAATTCCGACCAAAAAGTTGCCCAAGTTGCCAAGTTCCAAAGTAGTTGAATCACTTTCCCTGCCTTTAAAATAAAAGCTATTTCCAAACTCTGAGCTAAGGGCCTTTGAACCCTCGGCACCTATCTGTTTGCCCATCGAATTCCTCGACCCCACGGTTAGTCTCACTCCAATTAGCGGGCGGAATGCCTTGACCCCATTGCTATTGGCCCATTAAGATTAGGGAATGCTCGTTGTTATGGCCAAAATTGATGAGCTCTGAAATACTCGTTACGAGCATATTTAATTCGCGCAGCCACAAGTTCATTATCCTTTCGGTATCGAATTTTTGGCTGTGGGTTCGGGTTTAATGAACCCACTAGGTGCCAAAGTGGGCTGCCTGGCACACACTTTCCCTTTTTCGCAGGGGAGATGCTCCTTAATAATTGAAATTGAAAACATCAACTCGGATTCACGGCCCCCATTTCCCCGCACCACTTGTAATATTCAATTAGGCGCATATTTTCTGGGGATTTTCAGTCGGTTGCTCGGGGAAATCCTGGGGGCGAGGAAAAAGGTTCGTCCATCGCTAATTGGAATCCACAATCCCCACTCGAGTTGTCTTGGTTGCTTTTCCTCTGTTTGTCTAATTACTGACAAACTAATTGAGTCGAGCTGCCGAGGCGCGGAGAGGGCGAAACGAAAGCGGTAAAAACTTCGTTAATTCAATTTCAATATGCAAAATTCAGTGGAAATCCAATAACTGCAGAAATTGTGTGCGAATTTCAGTTTTCACTTCGTGACTCTGCGAATGAAGGCTCCCAGTTGAAAGTTGAATGGCGAAAGTGACTGCCACTTGACACGCTCCTCAAATATTAACAGCCACCGGATTGCATGCGTATCGGTAATTGTGTATCTGTATCCGAATTGGCATCTATATCTCCTTATATATATTTCCACATAGGTACACATATCCGTGTAACCGAGTGTGCGTTTAGGATAAGAGCGATTACATGCATAATTCAATTGGTGTAACAGTTGGATCTGCTCCCTGCATGTCGGTCGGCTATAGAAAACGCTTAAGGGGCGCAGCCACCGCACAGCGAGAGTGGAAAAAGGATAACTGCCAGCCAAACAGATGTGCCTCACATGAAGGCACTGAGGGAAGAATTCGATAAGTAAAATCTATTAAATATTCCTGTTTTTGAGACACTTTCGGGCGATTTCTCAATGTTATGTTAAAGTTACAGTTATCTGTCAGATAAAGTTAACATGAAGTTAAATTGTTTGAGACGACAAGTTCTACTGAAATCGAAAACTATATTTCTTGCTTTAACTGCAAGTTAACTTATGACTTAATTTAACCTGACATTGAGAAATCCGTCGCATCAGAATTTATAATTACTCTAATTATGCTTGAAACCTACTCTTTTTAAAGCCTTTAATTTTTTGCAGTGCGGATTCCCATTTACAAATACGGATACAGATACCACATCTAGATGTATGGAACACATCTGCTGGTGACGATTGTCACACGCCATTCTCCATTCGCCTGTCAATCATGCTTAGGGAGCTGAGTTCTGAAAGGGCTGTCAGGCGTCCAAAGGGGAGTGGACGGAGTGCTCCAGTGCATTAGGGAGCACAGGGAGGAGGAGGTGGTGTGGGTTAGTAGTATGCAAATGCTGCCTGGGACCACTCAGAAGGCAGCTCGGCAGTTCCCTTGGAGAACCAAACTATCGAAATGAGTTTAAACAGCTGCTGGCTGAACTACATGCAAATTATATCATAAAATATGTAGCTGCTTAGCTCGTGTTTACAAACAGTTTCCCCAGCAGCCCTTCACATTTAACCCTCTCACTCCCACCTGAGTTACCTGAGAAAGTTTTCCCGGCCCTCGATAACTTTTCCTGCCACTGCTGTTGACGTTTTCCCCAGCCAAATATTGAGGAATGGGTCGTAAGATGAGATGAACTCGTCTTATCATACCCATTTCGCTGTGGGAGGCTGTTCCGAGGATCAGAAATGAAGATTGATGATGCGCAGCTGGAGACCTTTGCCCATCTGTCAGACTCATCCCCCTTTTGTCACTTTCTTAACTCTTTCTTTCATTTTCGTTAAGTCATTGCAAATATTACATTTGTCGTACAGCCTCCTCTTTTCGGCAGTAAAAATCTATTTAATCTAAGATTTCATTGTATTTCTAGACAAGTTTTCAACTATAAAAATTAAAGCGCAGCGATTCATTTAACGACTCTGCACTTGTGCGTTGGGTGCTAGACATAAAATAAGATTTGGCAAGCGTTGTTGAAATTAATTAAATTTGAACGACTCCTAAAAATTCCAAGAAACTTACCACTCAGCACACAATCAGTTGGTATAATCCCATTATTATGAAATCCAAAACCACAATCTATAAGTGGCTACAAGATTGCAAAAAGAATACAATTTTAAAGACTCCAGTACCCCAATTTCCTATTCTAATATTTGCTAACATTTTGTATAACATGTTATATACATTTTATTTTCGGGAAATCCCCAACATGTGACCTCTACCCTCGCCAACACCTGACCGGAATGCCTGCTGCACTTACTCAGCACTTACACAGACTCTATCGTATATCACTGGCTGATCGGCGATCGTAAATAGTAGTTCGATTTCGGGCAATCAGCCGTCCACTTATCGGGCAATAAAACACGGTTTTCGATTGGCGTTAACAAGTTCCGTGATTAGATAGTCGGAAACTTGCGGTGTTTACACTTTAATGCAGTACTATTTGGAGTATTACGCAAAGATCAACCCTGAGGTGTCTCAGTTCAGCTGGTAATAGGCGGCTATGACCTGGTAGATCCATCCCACGTAGGGTGGAACCGAGGTGTAGACCGTGGGCCTCTTGGCATAGCCGCAGGGCATGTAGCTCCAGGATCCCAGACCCACCAGTTCCGCGGGTCCCGTGATGGGCCAGTAGATCAGGGGAGTGCCGCCGTCGCCGTAGCAGGTTTTCACCTGGGAGCACACCTGCTGCGAGGTGAGGGGAGCATCCGAGGGGAGCAGCTCCTTGCAGGCGGTGCTGTTGAGCAGCGGAGCAAAGGCGTACTGCAGCTCCTTGGAGTACTCATCGCCATCCGCATCCGTGAGTCCCCATCCATAGGCAGCCGCCGTCTTGTTGCTGTAATCATCATTGATGTCGGGCAGGGCAATCTGCTGAACCCGCGCGTTGTACTCGAAGCTCTCGGAGACGTGGAGCAGGGCGATATTGTCACTTCCGGCGTTGCCATTGAAGGAGCGATGGGTGGAGGCAAAGTCCACGTAGCGCACTTGGGCGGCCGTCACATTCGATCGGTTGACGATCCCCGCATAGACAGGAGTTCCCACCGCGTCGCCATTGAAGTTGATCAGTTCCAACACACAATGGGCAGCCGTTACTAGCCACCTCTTTCCGATGATGGAAGCCCCACACACGTGGGTGTAGGTGGCCCTGGTCAGGGACAGGGAGGCCAGGTAGGGCACATTGTCCACTCCCTGGACATCGTAGCCATCGATGATCAGCGGCTGGATCTCCACGGGCACCTGCTGGTTTAGGTTCCTCAACGACAGGTGCTGAATGTGCGGTATGTTGGCCGCTCCGGCCAAAGCCAAAAGGGGCAGCAGGAAAAGCGGCGAGAACATCGCTGATTGCTGATTGCTGATTGCTGATTACTGATACGGCTGAGAAATACGAAACGTCTAAACTGGAATCCGAGAAGCAAGGGGGCTTTTATAGTCCAAGACTAAGAGCTTTTGGTAATCAGGAGAAGAGAGAAAGTCCCACTTGAATGGTGATAAAACAAGGAACTAGTTCGATCAACCGATTATTATGGCACAGGTATACTTTTTCGTATGCTGAGAATTAATTAAAGGCCTTAAACATGGACTTTTAGGTATAAGAATAAAGGAACTGTTCTTTTGAGCCAGGAAGTAGATGATTATTATCAACAGTGCAACAGAAGATTAAAATGTTAGCAACAGCATTTTAAAGAATTAAAGAAAATAGTTAAAATTTTATATAGTTTAAAAAAATATATTTAATTATAATAAAATAATTATTTATACTTTTCAGGTATTTAAAAGAGAAAAAGAATAAAGTAAACCAGTTTATTTTCCAAAGTGGACCTAAATCATAATCTATAAAATGTAACTAGAATCCGTATTAAAAAAAATCCGACGTTTAGTTACTGGTATTCCTTTAACAGAATATCCCACCGTAAACACACCGTTTAATGTTAAATTGAAATTTAATTTAAGCCCATCCCGGCTTATTCCCATGGCTCCATGGATCCACATTATCCGCGCCGGGTGCTGTGGCATATAAAACATGCAATTACCCTTTCGCAGGGCGAAGAGGGTGCAGGATGAAGGATGGAGTGCATCCTCGCATGCACATCCGTGCACATAATTGCTGGCTGGCCGAGCTGCCCCTCCAAGCGGCATTAGGGCCACATGCCACATGCCCCGTCGCGCGGACGTTGTGTCCTGAAAATGTTTACGCAAACGTGCGGTCACTTCAGGGGTACGGAATCCACTTTTAATTGGCTTTGTCCGCTGTCCACTGCCCAGCAGGGAGGGTCCAGTATTTTTAGCATCCTTTGAGACTAAGCGACCTTGCCGTTTCAACACCTCAGTTAGCACACATTACGCACACGCTTTCCAGGGCTTTTCCCCCGCTCAAGGGCGTAGTTAGTGCGGAACTACGAAACGTAGTCCTATCGGCCAACTCTAATCTAATTCAGACGAAATTAACTAATCGCATCGAATGCGATTCATAAATCTATCTGCTAATCTCCAGTCTAATCTAATAGTGGACAAGTATAAAAGGCGCTTTTGGCGTGGCTAAAAGTAGACATTCTCCAAGAAAAATCTGCAGAATGAAGTTGATCGCTGTGACTCTGATCGTTGCCCTCGTGGCCGCCGCCCAAGGAGCCAAGCTCTCCGACAAGCTGGCCCAGATTGTGCCCAGCTTCGCCACCGGCTTCGTGATCAACGGCACGGAGGCGGATCCCCATTCCGCTCCCTACATCGTTTCCCTCGCCACCAGCGCCACCAAGCACTCGCACATCTGCGGAGGCACCATCATCGCCAAGGACTGGATCGTCACCGCCGCCCATTGCATTTCCAATCCCGTAGGCATGAGTGTCATCGCTGGACTCCACACCCGTTCCGAGGTGGATGAGCTGACCCAGCAGCGCGTTGTTGACTTCGGAAAGGTCCACGAGAAGTACTCCGGCGGCGTCGGACCCTACGACATTGCCATCCTGCACTTGAGCGAGCCCCTCACCTTCAACGAGTGGGTGCAGCCCGCCGCCCTGCCCAGTCGCGAGGAGATCCACGAGGGAGAGTCCCATCTGTACGGCTGGGGACAGCCCAAGTCCTACGTCTTCACCGCCGCCAAGAACCTGCAGACTGTGACCACCGATCTTGTGAGCTTCGCGGAATGCCAGGCAGCTCTTCCTGACACCGCTCCTCTGGCAGAGTCCAACGTGTGCACCTCCTCGCACCAGCAGAGCATCTCCGCCTGCAACGGCGACTCCGGCGGCCCTCTGGTCATCGAGAAGCCGAATGCCCCCTCCGAGCTGGTTGGCGTCGTGTCCTGGGGCTACATTCCCTGCGGCCTGGCCCAATTGCCCTCCGTCTACACCAGGGTCTCCGCCTACATCGACTGGCTCAACAACATTCAGAGCGCCTACTACAAGCTCTACTAAATCTACTGAAAAGGTCTTCTGTTTCGAAGAGAAAACTCTGTAGTCAGATTATGCCAAGGATCAGAATCACTTTGGATCAGAGCAATGATCGATTGTTGAATAAATGCATCCAACTAAAGTTCAATGTCTACTTTTTTCAGAAATGGATGGTTATAAAGGGGTTATGTTGAAAATAATATTAATAGATGGTTAATGGAAAAACATGGTAATGGAAAATGTTCATAAGGAGCAAATAAAAGAAAAAAAAAATCATATCCAAAAGAAGAAAGAAAGCAAAAAAGTAACAAACAGCAAAAAAAAAAAGTTTTAACAAAAACATTACCAAAGGTATATACAAAAAAAACACGTTGCTTCTGGTATATAAATGCGCAAAATGTATCAATTTTGCTCCTTCATTAAAAATTACTTAATCCAGTGCTGGTAATATAAAAAATGGATTAAAAAGTATTTGGATTTACAGATAAGCATAAAATATCATTGCTTTTTAATGCGAAATTAGGTTATTATTTTTTTCCAATCTCCATTTATTATGGGATGGCTTTCAAAGACAAGAGTATAAATAAAAGTCATAAATACAGAAATCCCAATTTAACCTAACCATGATGACAAAGCAATTTAGATGACCAGGTTTTATAAAAAGTCACAACTAATATTGCAAAATCTATAAAGAACCTTGCCAAAGTATCCACCTCTTTAAAGTCACATGATAATCCAAAATTCAATTAGCCTACGATCGATTGTGAAATAACTGCAAGTAATGAAAGTCCAGCCTTTGTTTGTCTTCTCCACCAAGGTTGCGTTTACAATTTATGGCGTCTGATTAGCCCGGAATCGATCGGTAATCGGAGCTGGATTAAGGACCGTCCAGACCGCAGTTTGTCTCCTAATTTATGGCCTCTATAATAAGCTCTGGAAAAGCCCAGACTTTTGGAGGCGTGTGCCATTGATAGAGTTTCCAGTCTCGACAGTCATGCACTCGACCAATCGCAGACAAGATGTTAGAGCTCCTTATCGGTGAGATTAGAAAATTGCTGACTCGAGTTGATAAGGTAGATTGGAAAAGCTCTACGAAGCTCTTCTCTTAAGTCTCAACATGTTGCTTGAAAAATGTTGGAAAGCAACACCTAAACCAGAATGACACTTGCTTAAAAATAGTATTTTAAAATTCACAAGTAGCAATGGTACTTAAGATCTACCGAAAATGTCTAAATTCTACTTTAAGTTCTGGTGAGTTAGGGCTTAAGTTCTGTAAACATTATTTGCCCTATGTGTAAAATCTTTTCAGACTGCTCCAAACTTATTAGAGCAATTATACAAATAATAAAAACCGTTGGACCGTTTAAGTTTTTGAAGTATTCATAGATATTATATATTATTTAATAGTTATCAATATAATTTTTCCATTACGATTTTGATTGTTTTATTTGCGCTCTAAATAACTTATCAGGGATGGCAATCTTAATGGAGTTCTGGTTCATTCACACCTAACCAATCTAATCGGTGTAGTTTTCCAAAGACATTAACTATCTATGCGATTTAATAATGTTTTATGACCAACGTAGTGCGAACTCGAGATAAACACTAAGCGCTATGGGACAAAGTGCCTATATTGGACCTGTGTGAAGTGCCATCCAGAATCGGGGCCAAGAGCCAGACAAGTCGACTGCAGGGAAGCCTTTTCTTTCTGCGAGCCTCAAGTGCTTGCAGGCGCTGCAAGATTAGCGGGTTAATCAGTCAAAGGCGCCACTCCACAGGACAAAGCGAAATCATATCGGGGCCAAGAATACACGCTAGTCAGGATCATAAATCGCTCCGGTGATAACGATAGCCAGCGATCTTCGAGTGCTTGGGGTTCAGAGATTGCAGATTGCAGATTGGATGGGGGACCTATAAAAGGCGCTGACCGAATTGGCAGTGGCACAAACTCAACAGAGAGCTCCAAAATGAGACAATTCGTGGTCCTATTCGCACTGGCTGTGGTGGCTTCGGTGGCCTCGGCCAACCTGATACCCCAGCCGGGATTCCCCGAGGGTCGCGTCATCAACGGCCAGGAGGCGGAGAGGGGAGAGGCGCCCTACATCGTATCCTTGCAGACCACCAGCGGATCGCACTTCTGTGGCGGCAGTTTGATCAATGATCACACCGTGCTGACCGCCGCCCATTGTCTGACCAACAGCCAAGGACGGGTCGTTGCTGGTATCCACGGTCGCCTCGACCAGGAGGGTGTCCAGACCAGGTCGTTCACCAATGCCCAGTACCGTGTCCACGAGGATTACAGCGGCGGCGTGGGACCCAATGACATTGGTCTGATCCTGCTCAGCGAACCCTTCGATCTGACTGCCGTCGCCCGGGATGGCAGCAATCCGGTGGGTGTGGTGTCTCTGCCCTCCAAAACATTCACGGGCACCGGCACTGGATTCCTCTACGGACTCGGACGCGACAACACTGGATCGCTCGCCACCAATCTTCAGAAACTGGAAACCAAAATCATTGACTACGAGGCATGCAAGGAGGCATTGCCCTCCAACGCACCGCTGGCGACCACCAATGTGTGCTCCTATACCGCCAACAAAGCCGATGGAGCTTGCAACGGAGACAGTGGCGGTCCATTGGTCATGAAGTCTGATATAATCACCTTCCTGATTGGCATCGTCTCCTGGGGATACACACCCTGCATGACGACCACCAATCCTTCGGTCTACACAGACGTGGCTGCGTTCACGGATTGGATCGAAAAGAATCAGGAATAGAAATAGGCAATAACCGAAAACTGTATATAATCACCTAATAAACGAACATTCTGTACTCAGACAATCCAGGTTGTGTCTTAATCATTACTCTTAAATACTAAAGGTCTATCGTGCATGACGACAGATAACCCAGCTACCTGGACTATCAAAATTAAAGTGATGACCACATCTATGTTATCATGTTTCGTAGAAAATGTGCGTAATCTTATAAAGTGAGTATTTCTTCATGATGTAATGCCCTTCATATAAACTAAAATAGGAAGTATATATAAATTGCAATAGGAAGTCCTACGCAAGATCCGTAAATATACAAATTTTACTACTTACATCGTCCCATCGAATGAACTTCTCGCCATCCTGCAGAGCCTGTGGAACCTCCACGCTGGCGGTGGAGATGTACGTTCCTCCGGCGCTCATCATCCTGACTGACTTTTCGGATTCGAAATCTCGTTTACGGGTCTCTCGGCTGTTGTTTGGCTTTCACTGACCCACGGATGGCCGCGTTCTGGTTATTTTCTGGCTGCTTTTTTGGAATCGCTGCGGCTTACAGTTGTTTCCGCTTAGCCGCTGCTCGGCGTTTCCGTTGCTGTAGTTGTCGCAGAGTTTTCCTGGCTGCATACAAATGACGCCATGGTCCTCTGGTCCTTGTCCGAGTCCTGGACGTGGTCCGGGCCACAATTAGAGCGCCGTTGTTTTTGCCCAGCGCCCGACCTTTTTTGACTGCATTCTGAGGGCTTGATTAAAAGTGCGGCCTTGCGAAGCACGCGGTTTCCTGAAATTGCAGAGGGGAAGCTGGTTAGTTGGTCAGTTTGAAATCAGCAAGCTTTCAGCTTATTTTGGTTAGCTAGAATGGATCTTATTGCCTCTGCTTTGGAATTTAATTGGTAATATTATTTCATACTAAAGAAAACGGGAATTCTTCAGAGCAAAATATCTTTTATTTTATAAAGTAGAAAATAAGGACGCGAATTCTTCAGAAAAAGGAAGTAAATATGTAAAAGGCATAGAATATTTGTTTAGTCATCAAGTACTTAATATATATCTCTTTAATATAAATCACTATTAAAACTTAAAGTAAATTCCAAAAAGAAAAGCTGCTTGATTTCGACAACTCAATTTCGTTTTATGAAAGGGTTGCTCCCCGTAGTTTCTATTTCCAAATGAGTCGTGCCAAACTACAGATATACATGGATACAGCTTGATTAACGTTTTGCCGAAAGTCTGTCGCTTTTGTTTCGCCACCATTGGCGGGTCAACCCGATTACGAGGGGGCGACCCCAAAGGGTCAGGATCGGAGCCCCCATGATGGGCACTGCCATTCAGCTACGGAGCTCCATTCATTCATTCATTCGGGGCACAGCTCATTCAGGTTTCCACGGCTTTGTTTGCCTATTTTTGGGCTGCTGTCGCCGGCCATTGTATTGCGGAATTCCCTTGTAGTTTCCTTCCCCTTTGGCTTTTTGTTCGGCTTCTGGTTTTTGTGTTCGACTGCACTTCATTTATGCAGGGAAACCGTTTTTCGGTCCGCTAATTTGGCGCACAAACATTTTCAATTTTCAATTAGCCGCCGGAGAACTCTTGACCTGAGCATTATCGAGTAGCTTTAAATAGACATCCGGTGGTGCTGCTTTTTGCAACCCAACTCGCTTGAACTGAACTGAACTGAGTGGTTCCTTGATTTTGGCATAATCCACTTAGACAGACTGAGATGACAGCTTGGCCAGAAGTGGAATTCGTAGAGGGAAAAACGCACGTGACTAACGGGCTAATACTTTCGTAATTTCTTTTGGCCTTGTCATAACCAATTTCAGTCAAGACCGTCGGGCAAACCCGAAACTAAAACTGAAACAGAAACTGAAACAGAATCAGAAGCAGTAGCAGTAACCGAAATAGAAATGGAAATGGAAGCAGAAACAGAAGCACCCAATGAAAATGCAGGCAAAACTTTTAGCCACAGTCCAAAGGCAACCACAGCCATTCAGTTACCTAAAACAACACACATTTATGTACACTGAAAAAGAAACAGCGGAGAATTTTTTAATGAGTATAGAATACAAATCATATACCCGTTACTCAGCTAAAGGAAGTGCAAGGGAGATAGAGATATGCAGCCGTAAAAGCTAGTGGCTCCATATAGCGGCCATTTCATTTTTGCTCATAACATTTTAATGGATTGCCCGATTTTAAAATTTTCTTCTACATTTCTATAGGTATTAATAGGCACAACAAAATAGCATTTAAATATATACATGTTATTATTTTTAGCAATGTTGTGGACATAATATCATCTGTTTTTCCCAGTGCCTTGGTCCCAACTTTGGCACACATCCCCATACATGTACTTATGTCGAAAGTTTTTCGCGCATAAAGGAAGTCATTTGTTTGTATTCGTTGCTTTCGCAAATAGAATTGAATTTGTGAATTTATATTGCCGTTTTCCCAGCCATTTTCTGTTTGAAATTGAGTTTGTACATCATAAATTTGCAGGCTGCCAAAGGGGAAGTAATTAAGCATTTTCATTCTGTTTGTTTTCCGACTGTTTTCGAGTGAGTTTCTGAGTGTGTGCGGCAAATGGATTTCGAGTCGATATATCGATAATGGTTATCGTAAGTGGAATGAAAAATGCGGGAGATGCCTGCTCGATTTTCCTCATTTCCATGCTTTGCTCGCTTCATAGCTTTTCTTTTGCTTTCCTTCTTTTTTTTTACTTTGCAAATCGTTTTAAGTGTTTTATGGCAAACGGGCAAAAAATTTATTGCAGGCAATTTGCAGATGTACCCCAGAGTAGGTGGAAAAGGTGGGTGGTTTCGGGTGGCTGGGAGTTTGGGGACCAATCTTGGGGATACGCAACGGAAATCACAGCGGCAACACACAGATTTCAAGTGACTTTTCTTCAACGCTTTCCCTCGTTCTAACAAAAAGAGAGAGATATAGAAAGCGGGCGAGCCCATGAATCATGTATGCGACGGAAACAGAACAAAACGCTTTGCTCCCAGCCTGCCCCTCGGATTTTCCCCACCCCCTTGGCCCCTTGGCCCAGTTTTAACGGCCAGGGAAAGCGGCATAAATCAAAACGCCAGTCAAAATATGTTTTCCTTTGCCAGCTGGCATCCAAAGGTTAAATGTTGATATATGTGAGCGAGCGTACTTGTTATTGGCTTGTTTATTGCAGTCTTCCAGTTGATCTGAGTCGAATTTATGGATTTCCTAGTTGTACTTTCCACACCGCGAAAAGTTAGTATAGCTTTTAAAACTTTAATCTATATAGTACTTTAAGTATGAAGTAAGTTTGAATAAAACTATTTATGGAATTATTTTAAAAAGTCATGACAGTCTAGAGAACGAAGCTGAATTTATATACCTATATGTTTTATTGTCGTGTGGCCATTATTGAAAATGATTTATTTTCTAAAAGGTCTTTTCGATGAATCGGTATTATTAAATTACCCCGTAATTCCGACTGCCTCCCTGTGTATTTATTTTCTATTGTTCGACAGGGACTGGCTTTTAAGTACCTGCACCTAAGTGTCCATTTAGTTGGTGGACAACTTTTCCGAATGAATGGGATGCCCCCCAGTGACACGGGCTCTCCCTCGCTCTTCTTCTTCGCTGCCATTTCCGGGAAAGTACGGAAGTTGCTTGTCAAACGGCAATCTTCCCCAGCAACGCACTCCACACTCACACAAACACGATAATCAAATCAAGGCGCCAGCTATTTGGGGAAATGGGGGGGAAAGCGAAGGAAAAGCGGAGGAAAAGCCGAGCGGCAGGGCAGGAGAAAGTTAAAATGTTTAAAACTGAAGCAGGTGAGAGTCGAAAGATAAGAATTCTGGGGGCAAAAAGAAAAAAAGAGGAGGTAGGCGGCAACATTTTTTGTAGCATGCTTTTCGGAGCGACAGTTTCCACTTTCCCTCGCCCACATTTTCCCGCGCGGAAATTGCAGCGACAGCCTGTGGCACTCTGTATTGTGTATGTGTGTGTACCGACTATAATTTCATTTGTGGTACATAAAACTTTGCCGAGGCTTCATCTCTTTGGGCCAAGACGCTGCTGCTGCGAAGGCCAGAGGAGAATCACATTAAACTAATTGCTTTAGCTTGTCGTTGCTGTTGTTTCCATTGTTTCTGCCGCTCCTGTCGTCGAGTGTTTGATTGTTAGTGCTTTTAGGCAGCGCAAATTATATTTGCTTGTATGCCAAAATGGTTTCTGTTCGCATTTGGCAGCCATTAAAAATTGAAAAGCCACCAGTACACACACATACACGATAACTCAGTTTGACAGCCACTGTGAGCATCCTTAACCTAAAAGGTTCAAGTATTATAAATCGAAAGGCAACCCTGAAATCTTCTCTCTTCTCAGGATTTATAGTTGGGTAAGTACGGTTAATGCAAAAAAAAGGTATAAGGTTGATATGAATTAAGTAAATTATTTAGTTTAATTTTATAGTTAGGCTAAGTAGGCTTAAGTACAACATTTTTAAGGCAAAAGTAATTCCTATTATTGTTTTAGTAAATTGTTTATGTAAATTCCAAAAAAGTCCTCCCATCTCATACCTAAACTTGAAAACCCGTCTGAAAAACAACAAGGGAACACAAAAAAGCTGAACATCAAATATTAACTGAGTATGGCCCTTAGGTCAGATGATTTACCTTTTCCTACTTATTCTTTGCGCTCACCCATTTCCCCCTTTTCTCGGCGATTTTTTAATATTCAAATTTAATTTGTATTATTCCCTAAAAGGAAAGAATACCCTATCAATGAATGAAATTGATTTTTGGAGCGTTGCGGCTTTGATTTCCTTTCGATTTGCTTGGCCCCCAAGCCGAGTTTTCTTTTATTTTCCCAGCCATGTTTTCCCTACTGTTTTTTTCTTTCAAAAAGAAAATTCATCATTCGGAGAGGCGATGAGGGTTGGGTAGGTGGAAGTCAACAACTTGCCGGCCCTTGGGCGCTCAGCCGTCGCTCATATCGGTAGCATAAAGTACACAAATAAATAAAAATATAAAGCGTTGGACAGGGGCGTAGTAAGAAATGGAAATCGAGCGGGAGGGGGGCTGGGGTGAC